TAAGCTTCTTTTTTAACTAGAAAATTTTTCTTTCATATGAAAAACTAATTAAAAATGCTTTGGTTTTAACATATCAACAAAAAACATTATAGACCTGGATAGTTATCAACTATGGTATATTTTATCAATATATATATATATATAAATATTCGGTTTCCTGAAGGTTTATGTTACAAGTTTAATCATGTAAAAGCATTCGAATGATTTGAGTTAGAATTTCATATTGTTAGAATCGATTTCATTCTCTATTCTGTTGATTTAACTAGAATGTGGTGTTGATAAAGCACGTTTTTCGGGTCAGCATGATGTTCACTCAAACGCGAATCGATCATTACATAGATTATGGCAACCAAAAGAAAAGTTTCAACTTTATCACTCGAGGTATCGCGTTTTAATTGATCGATATCATTAGCAAATGGAGAATTTTTTTCATTGATTACTAGATTTTGATTGTCCTAAATTAGATTTTTGAATACTAAACATATCTCATATCATCATTATGATAGTTTTGATGGAGAGAAAAAGTCGAATTCATTCATATTTTGTTGACGGATTATACTCATGAGTCACTGCTACAAGTCTTTATTTTTAGATGTAATTTATTCATCATTGAATCGAGACAACGAATAGAAGAAGATAATGATACTACAACAAATTAAAAATGCTAGATGAATATTTGACTATGTGCAGAAATTAATAAGTAGTAAAAATTGAAAAAAAAATAGTACGATGATATTTACAATATTGGCAGGAAACATAGTCTAATATAAGAAGAAAAATAATAAACATTATGTAGGAATAAGTATACAAATTTTAACAGTGGTTATCCTGTGATGAAGCAATAGAAACACTAAAGATAAATGAAACAAATTCTTTTAATTATTAATGAAATACAGGTTCAAGTCGTCGGTATATTTTCTAGAGTATCTAAATATGCAAAATCTATCTTGAGGATGGTGAGAGCACTTACATCCGGTCACCGTCGCTTCTCTTCCCCAAAGGAAATAGAATTCACGTATGTTTTCGAAGAAAATAATAGTGAATGACAGTTTAAATCAAGATTTTTGCGACTCTTCTTCCAGCTCATCCGTAGGTCTTAGCAGCCGAGATTAAAAGCGCTGAACAACATTAATAACAAGATTTAGAATCTTCTAAAACATTTCAGAAGCTTTCTTGAAATTGAAATGACCGAAATCTTTTTCTTTCAATATTATAATCAACACAGTTACAGATTTTTGCAAAAGCAAACGACTAAATGAGAGATATCAAGGATGATGTTTGGATTTTCTACAACTGTCATATGACCACCACAAAAGCACAAACTGATCAAGTTCCAGCTTTCCGAAATAAGCAATTTCAGTCTTTCTGAGTTCATCAAGATATATAATATATGGTTAAGATCTACTGTAGATATAATAAATGTGTACAACCAACTTATTTGTCCATTAAATCAATGGTTAGACTAACAATAAAAACAAATTACGAAAATGAAGTACAAATAAGAAAAGAAAATAGATACCATGAGAATTGCAACAAGACAAGCAAAGAAAGCAAAATATCTGTTCGAAATGTTAAAAACAAGGCACTGTTTGTTGATAATCGATTATCGTTGGAGAAGAACCATCATCTTTTAGAGATTTTACACAGTGTAAATTCAATATTAGTATAATGTAGCTGAGTAAGACATGTGGGCTTCATATTTTAGCTTCAAAGGTACTGTGTTAACAAGGTTTATTTATGGAGGAACCTGTTCCTTAATGAACTTTCATCGAATTGAGTAACTTACATTGTGTACACAACATTTTTCGAAAGATCTCGTTTTTTCTAATATTTCATCGATGTGAACTGAATTTCTAAGAATAGAAAAGTCAAATATTGTTTTATTGTATTCAAGCTGAATGTCCACGCAAGGCATCCATTATTTAAAATCTCTCAACTTTTTTTTTTCACGACACAGAAGAATTATATGATGAGGAAGCGAATTTGTGTCAGACAGCGTCTGATCAATTTTATCAGACAAATAGCATGTTTGTTTGATTTCCTTGTTGTTTGCAAAAGTTTTGAAGAAAAATCTAGTGTCATTCTATCAGAAAAATACAGTATAAACATACTGTAGAATTTCAATTTACTGACGTATTCTTATCCTTGAATAGTTTTATTAGACAAGCACAATCGATTCAACCATGCCAAGAAGCAATCAGATTAATGTACTAAACTTATCAACATCGCCAACAAGGAAGTCTCCACAGTTATTCCAATGGCCAACAGATTCGACATCGACTACACGTAAATTCAGTTCTTCCATAAAAAATACAGGCAGGACAAAATACGATGATGACGAGCGGTAAAAACGAAATCCGGTATCTTTCATGTGATCAGATCATCAATAAAATGTATCTTTCTCTTTATTTTTCTCATACAACAACGACAATATTAACAAATCCTTTCTTTGGTTACCATGTTTCACATGTTGTGTTGTTGGATTTCTGCTCAGTGGAATCGTTTTTTGTTGTCGTACTCATTCTGTGCTTGAGATCAGGATCAGCAAGTTTAACAACAACATCCACAAGTATGTTTCGAACAAAGAAGAGAGCTAAAAAATGATGAAATCAGACTCATTGAGAAAGTCTTTTTCCTCTATACTTCATTTTTACACAAGGCATATGAAAGTAATTATTTTCTGTAGGAAAACTGTGAAAGAAGACATCGATAAAGATCAACTTGCTGTTTAGTACCAGTCAGTTTGAAGATTATCCATGAGAACCAACGAAATCATTTCATTAATGATGAAAAAAAATGATGTCGTATCATTTCGTATAATCAACAACATGATAGCCATTGATGAATCCTATTATAAGTATGATGATCGTATTCCATGAAAAATTTTTTCAAATACTCAACTTTTCATTCGTATGCTGTAAATCTATTCAAACCAAAAAAACTCGAATTTTTTTGCAAAATAGTTCAGAGAGAAAGAGAGAGAAACTAAAGATGCATCTAATTCTTCATTAACTATACAACCATAACCGTCGACGAATACTACCAACTCGACTACAAGTACTGGTAAGTAGAAATATGTGACATATGATACTAAAAAATATATTGATATATAATCACCAGCAATAACATCAACTAGCACTTCAATAAGTATGTTTTAGAATTCAATCACGAATCCTATACGATCTTGACCTTCCTTTCTTTTCAGCCACGACAACTATAACTGTTTACAATGCATGTCAGTTATTTTACGTGAAAACGATTGCATGTATTCAGTATTAATTATCATTTTAGGTTCTAATCTTCGTTGGAATCAAACGGGTAAAGTAATTTCAGGCACAGAATCAGCTGGTTCCAGTTCTACTAAATTCACAAATCCTTATTGTTTGGTTATCGATGCGAACAATACACTTTATGTTTGTGACCACCATAATGATCGTGTTCAAAAATGGTTTGCAGGAGCGATAAGTAGCATCACCATAGCTGGCACTGGTGTTGGCTCGGGTGCAACTTCACTTCCACATCCTCAATATCTTACTTTTGACAAAAATGGATACATGTATGTTACTGGACATGTGCTCGATGAAGTTTTACGCTTTCCTCCCAACTCACCCATTGGTACAGTAGTTGTTGGAACCGGTATGAGTGGAAATGCATTTAGTCAACTCGATACACCAACAGATATAGTTGTTGATGATAATTTCAATGTTTATGTCGTTGATTCAAAAAATCGACGATTGATGAAATGGCCTCCAAATGCAACAAGTGATATTGTTATGATTAGTGATTTCAATAGGGATGGTATAGTCGGATTACTATTTGCTTCTGGCTCAACAGATGAAGTTTATTTGAGTGATAGTAAAACAAATACTATATATCTGTGGAAATTTAATGAATCAGTTCCTACTATGACTCTGACTCAAGTCAATAGTACTATAAATACTCTTAACAAATCACAAGATATCGTTACGATTCTTCTAATAATTTGTATGTTGCCGATAATGGTAACGATTGAATAGTGCTGTATTGTGTGAATTCAACAGTGGGTATTTCTGTAATTGGAGAAAATGGCACAACACCTGTACCAAACGCACCAATGGACGCTGCATTTGATTCGGATCTCAATTTGTACGTGGTTCTTGATTGTGATGAAGTGATTAAATATACACGACTTTTCTACATACTAACAATATATAACGATATTGTAATAAGGATTTTCCAATTGCAGCATTACTTCACTACTAACCAAGATAAAACAAATAAAAATCACCAATACAACCATCAGTGATACACAATTTTTCGCCTTAAACATCCACAGAAGTAATAAATTAATTTATGTGTTTAGTTAGAGAAAAGATAAATACTTGATATTAATCTATTATATAGTTTTCTAACAATTAGTTGTAAGAATTAAAAAAGATTATAGGTGTCTTGCCCCTAGGTAACGCACTCGCGTGTTTTTTAATTCTTCGTCCAAATTTTTTCTGAACAACTAAGCGGGGAGTCTTGAAATCTTGAATGGACAGATGTGTAACTAAGTTGTTTAAGAGCTATAAGTTTCATTAGAATTGAATGTATGATTTGTGTTTGATAGCAAAAATATACGCCAGTAACGTACGTACACAAAAGCCTTCGTCTGACAAGAGGCTATTAGAGAGATTAAGTTTCCTGCGAATAATGAAACTATAAGGACATATGACCAAGAGAAAGTTTGTAGCTAAGAGTCAATATTACAGATGAGCAAAAAGTGTTCTCAAAAGTGTACTGTTGCGTGAGAGTTTTATAACAAATATTGCGGTAACGTATTCACATTTTGCTCTCTGAGGATTTCTTCTTGATTACTCACTGCTTTCTTTCACATTTCTGAGCATATAGAAAACTTGTTTTTCATTCGTTTTCGAAGTGTTGCAACTTTTCACATTGAAATATGAAGTACAAAGTGTAACATCACGAGTAATTCTTCTACTTGTCAGAAGATAACAATCAATTCTTTACTTGTTATTTTCAAACCAAATGTCTCACAGATAAAGAATAGTGAACCTTGAAAATTTAGACTATCTATTATCTCTGGGATGGCACTAAATTCTCGTACATTTTGCATTACGTGATTTGATACTTTGTGGTCATCAAGAAAATTATATGTTAGTACATTGACGGAACTCACTCACATTTTCTTGCCAAATTTCTATCCTTACAAATCTAGTTAATTCTTCTATCTCTGGAATAAAAGTTTCTTTTTGCATTTTTCACAACACTTCAAATTCTGCAATCTGAATATTGCTATGCAATATGTTATTTTATAGGCGCTATTTTTAGTTTTGCTAATAGCGTAACATATTTTTACTTTTCTAGACGCTCCGATCAAGAAGTCATACTGATTTTGGTAGAAAACTACCGAAAATTGATAGAACATGTAAGCAGTATTTCGATCTGGAGCCTATCCGATTCGGAATACTGCTTTCATGTTCTATCAATTTCCTGTGCTTTCTTGCCGAATACAATGATATTTCTCTCATCTTTCCGACCGGTTCCAGTTGAATTCGATTGTTTTCAGAACTTGGAATCATCAATTTGGGAGCTGCTGATTATATTTGCAATGAAAAAAATTTTAGGAATGACGCATAATACAGGTCTCTAAGAGCTGATGATAGCAGCCCCTGACAATTGCTCGAAGCTTGATAACATGTCTTCTACTAATATTTTCTTACTAAATTTTCGAAGTCCTTCATTGAATAATTACAATTATTGTCACTTTTTACTGTAATCGTTCGTGCTTTTGCGCAACAACAAAAAAGTCATCCAATCACTATCATTATCAATATGATGATTACATTCAATGTCGTACACTGGCTAAAAACTGAATATTATCAATTATAAAGTCAAAAATACAACATATGCTAAAATAATTGTTGCGTGAGTGCGTTAGCATTTTTTTTTTATTAACAAAAAGAAAAAATCAAGAAATAAGTCAACCATTGAATAGCTCGTGAATAGTTAGTGGAGAACCTTGAGCAGCTAAAGAATGTGAGTGTGATTGTGATGTGTCGATGTGCGTGTGGCTGAAGGAAAGATCCACACAAACACCCATATCTCGGAAGGACAAATTCTCTGACAAAAAAAAATGTACCTAGAAGTAATCATTTTCAGCAAGTACATATTTTCTTTTCGAGAGTACATCCAGGAAATATAGATGAACGTCCGACCAATTGAAGAATTTCAGAGACTTTCTAATTATTTGTTTTAATCAAATTAGATTCGACATTTAGTGACAGTGAAGAAATCAAATTATCACCTCTTTCACTTTTGACTTACACTGAATCAGTATTCTAAGAATGCTTATGACTTCATCAATCCATACCTACATTATTTCGCACAACAGTAAAATATAATGCCATGTTAGCTAGTGATGATAAACATATTCATTGGAAGAATAGAAATTGATCTTATACTGAATTTTTATATGTTCCACTACTAAGATAATCACTATTGTACATATTATTGATTGTTTGATTGAGATAAACAACAGTTTGAAAAAAATTTGGCATAAATGGTTCAAATTTCGATCCATCGAAGTTTAATGATGGTCAATCAGAAAAATTTATTTTAGCATTTTAGCCGAATTTCATTCACGTATTAGACAAATTTCTATCATATGAGAGACAAAGATCATGTATTGACCAAAAATAATTGAATAATTTCGATTTAAACTTGAACCTGATCGCAAGCATATACAATATATTGTGATTTCTATTAAATTAGATGTATATCTTTTGTCAACAAATTATGAAACTATAATCTTTGAAGATCAAAATATAAATTTTATGATGACACCATTGGTTTGAAGATATTGAAAGATAACGTATTTCAAAGAAAGAAATACAAGTCATGCTAACGATATTTTAAATCTTTGCTTATAACAACCACTATGTTTAGTGAATTCGTTCAAAAAAACGATGGAAATAGCCTACTCATTTCGAATACATATATATTTACTATTATAACTATTAAATTCACTTTTAAAAGAAGTTTGTTTCACATTAACGATAGAATACAATTATATAGAAATATGGAACTATACTCAAACGAGAAAATTTTAATCATTTTTAAGCCATGTTGGTTCACATATTCTATCACTCTCGAAATAATGCTCATCTATAAATTTTATTCTGATAAATTTCCAATACGGATGTGGCTGTCGGTCTTCTCTTCAATAATACCCACACCTTAGAGTTATACGAATTGTCAAAATCTACTTCAATACATTTTCTTTTCTAGAAAGACATAATCAAAGAAAAGTGAAAGAGTTGTCTTTGGTATAATGACAAATGTGTAATGTGAATTGATAGATGTTAATTTCTACAATTTTGATAATGTATATAGGAACTTATTTAGTAAAAAAATCCAAATATTTGTCTTTGTTACATGTGAGAACAGGTAGATTTAGCATCAACTTCTTTTTGTTGAAAAGCCGATGTTTTTACTAAGTTATATCAATAGTTTATATCTCGTTACCAATCATAATATTTTAGGATCATACAGTCACAATGAGCAGTTCATATTGCAAATATGAAGTATGCAAAAAAAGATAATCATCTGTATTCTATCGAAATCCTAATTATAAACATAAGTTCAATGTCATCAATTTCAAAATATTCTTAAACAAAGAAGAAAAAAAATCTACCTTATGTGCAGTTGTTTGAAATTATGGCTGTTATAGTGGATTTTCTCCATTTGGTATGATTCGGAAAATCTACTTTGTTTTGTCGATTTGACATTTCGAGAAAAGACCATTCATTTTTAAACTGAAATTTTCAGGAGATTCTTATGTCTTCAAGAGCTGTCAATGGACAAAGTTTTAGTTCAAATACGAGGTATCATCTCGAGAAATTCTCTCATTCGTACACAGTTTCAAACATGTGAGACAAGTTGAAATAATGAAATTCTCACACGTAGTGCCTATATCATTTGGTGGCTAAAGTGTATTTATGCATCATATAATGATACGAATATTATTCTCCAATGTTAGCCATTTTACTTCCATGAAATTTTCTTTTTATGAATATTCAGAACAATTAGAAATGGAATAGACCAAACAGTAACTGATTTTCATTTAGAAATAAAACTTCGAGTAAAGCTAATGAATTCATACAAAAGCCCATAGCCATAGATGTTATAGCAAATGATTTCTACAGTAAAACATCTCTAATGTGAACATTATTAGGATTGACCAAAAGTGCTCAATTTATGCGAGCTACTTATTAATGAAAAGTTTTCAATTGTTTTTCTCAAATGATAAGTATTTACTTGCAATCATTTTTCGACAATATAAGATGATATTCTTCTGAAATAACAACTCTTTTATACCTATAAACTATTCTAAAATAACTGTGAAGTGTGCTTTGAACAGAACGTAGATGTGGAAAAAGAAAAGACTAGTATCGGTCACCAGGCACTGCTGTTGTTGTCTAATAATGCTTGATTTTTCTTCTAAATACGGAGGTTTAGTCCACGATTGTTTACCATAGCGCACGCAATACACATAGCATCAGTTTTGTCGATCGGTACGTGAATGGCAGCATATACGTTGCTCATATTATGGAGGTCTTTACTACTTATGGGACTAGAAATAAGCGCTCACTACTCAGAATGAACAGATGCTCATTATGAAGAAATCTTCACATAGAAAGGTTTTACTGTATTTCATTCGAAGGTGGTCGTTAAAGCAATGATTGTTGAAGAATATTAGCAAGTCTTGATTTTGGTTTCACGTATTATTCAATTTCTGCAAACGAGTGCTTCAAAAGTAGACTAAATAATTTTGTGATTCTACTGTATCCGATTTCATGTTAAGACATTAATAATATCTCGTTGTTTTTCAACTTCATGTCGTTGTTATATGTATTTGTGTAAAATTTCACAATTGAAATAGATTTTATATAAGTATTTACTCATCAAGCATCAACATAAACACAAAATAATCTGATAAATCATTTTTCAATTTTAAGATTCCAGTCTTCGA